TGGGTGTAGAGTTAGAGGACTTTAAAGTGACAAGTTAAAGCCCCCAACTTGGTTTATTATTTTAGGTTCTGATATGAGAATGTTAGCCTACAGGTGGAGGGAATCGAGGGAAATCTAGAGTGAGAGCTAGTAACTTCCCTGTCTATCCGGTCTTCAGAACTATTCAAACTTTAAATTAGTCAATGTTCTTTATAGCATCTCTAGTAAGTGTAAGGAATATTATTGGTCCTATTTGGCACAACACAATTTGCATACTTTCACAACAAAATTCATATACTTATTACTGATTCATGATAAGAAAAAGATATTTTCATATTAAGCACTTTTCTTCTAAAAAAACTTTAGTTATCTTTTTACTGTTTTGTTAAAATATCAAAAAACCACAAATATTTAAATTTTAAACTCCTGTAAAAATTGTTTTTAGTGTAAGTAATTATCTTTTTAAAAATAGAAAAACTTTCTAAAAAGTGCATATTGCATAATCTTCCCTTATTGCATAATCTTCTTCCCTGTGGGTTCAATATTCAGTTCTTAATCAAAAAGTCCTATATTACTTGATAAAAATATGTATACTTGTGTAGTATCCCAATATAAATATATATAAATTAAAAATTTAAATTCTTATTTTTCTTCAGGATCAAGTTTTTAGTTTTATTTGCAAAATAAGGAAATATAAGTGACAAATACCATCAGAACTATTATTATATTGTGCATAAACATTAGGTACGGGATCAATACTCTGCTCTGATTTTCACTTTATGTGAACAATCACGAATAGAGTCCCATAGAAATGCCATAGAAATGAAGAAAGATTATCCTATTGGGAGGCATATGATTCAGAGAGTTGAATCATTTGTTGAATCTAGAGGGGGAAGAAGCGATATACCCTCTACATCTGCTGCAGGGGCATCTACTTCTCACCCTGCATCATTAGAAAATATTATGGACCAACTCATGATTCAAAAAATGGACATAATCAATATTCAGGGTTAGTTGGGAGAGATTGGAGTAAGAAATGCGTATAATGATAAATATCAGCAAAGTAGAGTTCAACATGATATTGATTTTGAGAATGACATGGCGAGACATCTTAGGGGAGAGCCTAATGTGGAATTTCCTCCTTGCCCCAGCTTCACTCTCTATGCTCCTATTCAGGATGAAGATGAGGAAGAAGAAGAAGAATATGATGATGATGATGAGGAAAGAGATGAATACTAATATTTTTATGAGCTTAGCATAGTTCGTTTTGTGTTTGATTGCTATTTGTGATTGTATTATGTTTTACTTTTATTTGAGAACTATTATAGTAAAAACTTTCATGTTATGTAGTGGACTTAACTGTAATAGTAATTGTAAACTTTTACTTTTTCTGCTTTCTTAGTATTTTCAGTTTTGTTTTTCATTTTTAATGTTTCTTTTCTCAACAAGTTCTTTGGAATAGATTATGTTTTATTTAATGCTGTAAAGTTTGTATGTTTTTAAAGTTAGTACCAGTAGTATACCAGAGCTAAGTTTTATAATCAGAAATCCTCTACAGGTCAGTTTTGATTTTTCATGCATTTACTCTTTTCTTTCACCTATTAAATTTTGTACCAAAATATTTTTAAAACTACTTAGAAACATAAGTTTAGGGGGAAGCAAAATTTCTTTTAAAAAGGAATAAACTAAAATTTTATTTGTTCACAATTAACTATGTTTTAAAAATAAATTTAACATGATTTGGGGATATTAAGATTTAACTTTAAATGATTTGGGGACACTTGTTCTACACACCTCTTGGAGTGATTCAATGCATCTAGACACTTTGGAAGATTCTTTTATGAAATGAAGGGATATGTCTCATATGAAGGGATATGTCTCATGGATCAAATGACACATTTTTTGAATTCAAAAGAGTTGACTTTTAGAGGGAATTTCGAAGGGAATTTTGAATTATTTTTAAAAGGAGGCAGCCCAAAGTAAAAGAAGAAGACTTCATAGAGTTGAAAGAGAGTTGGAAGGGGGATGAAAAAAGCAAGAAGGTGGTGGCGTGAAAGGCAAGGAGAGGGGATTTTCTTCTAGGGTTGTAAGAGGAGATGGTAGGTGAGAGATTTCTTCTTCATTATACTTCTAAGAGAGAATTTAGTGTGCTTGTAAAAAGAGAAAGGCTTGGAGAGAACTTCTAGGGATTTAATTGGGAAGGATTGTGTTATAAGTTGTCTTTTATTTCTTTTATTTTGCAAACTTTTTTTATATATGAAATTCGTGTTTTGTCGTATCATTCTCATGAATTCCGAGTTGTCTTTTTTATCATTCTCCATATTTTGAGATATGGTTTTGTGAAGATTTGATTTTGTCTTTTACGATTTTAAATGTTAATAAATTTTGATGATTTGAACTCTGATCTTCATTTACTTTTCAATCTGGCCAATTGAAATGTTAAAACATGTTGAGAAACATTTGTCCTGAAAAGAGGTATGATTTCTACAATAGAGAAAGAATCACATTTGATACATTTGATTTCAATGGAGAGTATGTTATCCATGAAATTGAGTGCAAATAAATAGAGAAATATACTTTTGTTGGATTCAGAATTTGAGATTTTAAGGTGACAGATTAAAATCTCCAATTTAGTCCAATCGATTGAAAACTAATGCGAGATTGTTAGCCCTCAGGGAAGGGAGTAGTGGGAGCTCTGGAGTGGCAGTCGCTATTTTCCCACCCTAACCACCAAATTAGGGACCAAACTCTAGATTAGTCATTGTTCTTTACAGCACTCGGAAGAGGGTAAAGAATAGGATTGCTCCTATTTGGCTCAAAACAGGTTTTATAAATATATTTTCAAATGATTTTAATCTCTTCACAATCCATAGACTCATTGTAAAGGGGAATGATGCTTTCTTAAATTTGAATTTTTTATCAACAAAAATTTTGTTTAGTTTTCGCAATTTTACTTTTGAAAGTTTAGTTTAAAATAGTTAACTTTGTTTTTTCAACTACATTTTATATATCATTCACCTTAGTAGCTAATATTCAAACTTCAGACTTTACTTTTATTTGGTATTTTTTTATTTTAAAATAAGTTTAAAAACTTACTTATAGGATTTTCCAAGTTTCACGTGGGATTACATTAGAGCCCTTTATTACTTGAGCGATACATATACTTGTGTTGATTTTAAATGGGATTTGGTAGTTTGAAAGAGCTTTAAAGGTAAATTATTTTCATAAAAGGTATTTTTGTTGGGATTATATTGCATATTTAATATTATATCTGCCGTTTATATTTTGTAATATTAAAAAATATTTGTAAAATTTACACACTAAATGTAACGGCATTAGCTAGCAGCTTGAGAGAGAACTTACAGGTTTGAGAAAGAGTTGAAGTCCATCACCACCCATGTCACCGCCGACTGCCACCGGTCGCTGTTGCGCACTGACGACTGTCGTCGATCACCTTTGATCACCATCAATCTGCATCAACTACCACCGATCACCGTAGAATATTGTCGAATGCCGTAAAAAACCATCGACCCAAGTTGAGCACCGTTGTCGCTGTCAACCACCACCTATTGTCGTCGACTATTAACCACCATCAATCACCATCAATCATCGTCAACCGCCACAGACCAAAAGTTGTCAGTCGACGTTGAAACATACACTTTCCCTTTTGTGAGACAATATGTCACTGCAATCGTCAACAAATAGTGGATTTTTACATCTGGGTTAGGTCTCATGGTTTTTGCCTATTACGGGTTTCCAATTAAAAATTTCTGGTGTTACTACTGTTGTTTCATTTTACTTGAGTGTGTGCACATTTATTGTATAAAGCTAAGATGATAATCCATTACTATACCACCGCGAATTTTCTAGCATGCATCACTTACCAAAATAATAAGTAATTAAATCATCCTTGCACTCATCCTTGTATCACTAATTCAATCGACTAAGAAAATAGAACTATGAAATATCACAAGCCTATTTTCTTAATCATTACTTTATCATATTGTTTAAAAGTTTATTTACTTATCCCTATGAAAGCACAATTTGATTTAGAACAAAAAATTTTTTTATTAGTGGACGGTTAAAAATCGCCCTGCTTTTGCAATCAATTTCATTTGGCATAACATCATTGGTAACGTCGGGTGGCATAGGAAGAAGTTGCCATGAAAGGAAAGATAGAACAGTGACAAGGTGTGTGAATGTTCTTTGGCATGAAGCAATTGTCCCGTTTCTTTTAGGCATCTTTAGTTGTTTGTTTGTGTTTACGTAAGTGGGACCTACAATTGTAAGATTCCTGCGAAGGTACTCCCTTGTTCCTGCTGTGAAACTTCTGCGCCCTCGTAGTTATTGTCGATTGTGGGGTGGCTAGGAATATCGTTTGATTCTGAGTTTGAATCAAATCCTGGGCAATCTCTTAATTTATGAATTAATTAGAAATATTAAAAAACTGTTAGGTCTTAACAATACGAAATTATAATTATGATACTATGACCGACGTCTAAACTACAATCGCATTTCTTTTTAAAATTTAACGAAACATTAAATATCATTTTTCATGTTAAGTTTTCAACAAGTCATTTAATTTTTTTCCTTTAAAATTTTTGAATATTGAGTTAATTATTCTTAAATTGTAGTTAAATTAAATCATTTAAACGAAAGAGTAAACCATCCACTTTTTATACAGTATGAATGTTATTAAAAAAAGGTGGATATTTTGATAAAACTTTGTTTATACTTGGTTAAATATTTTGGTTCGTAGGGAAGATCATCAACCGAAAATATTGACTGTAAAATAGCTAGGCCTGCACTTAAATTGAGCGATGTAAAGTAATATGCAATTGAAATTCATTTATTGACTTATTTTATTGAAATCGAGTTAAATTTGAACATTAATCGAGTGATTTTTTAGTATTATCACATTTAAAATTTTCAATTCAGTAAGTGCATTTATACACTTGGTTTCTAAGAGAATTATCCAATCGATTACAATTGAAATTGACTTACAAAATGCCTTATTAAAAAAAAAGAAGAATCAAAATTGAATAAGCAACTCAAAAAGCAGTGAACGGACTTCCTCAAAACCCAAACATCACTTAACATGCTTTATACCACTTAAAGTCTACTTTCGACCATTATTTACATCCATAACTCGGATTTTAATCGCAAAATAGCTAACAAAAACGAAGGCATCTTAAGATGAGCCGCAACATCACATGAGAGAGCAGGCGTTCGGGTTTTCGTCACTAAATAGCTGCGGCGCGTGCAACATCTCCGCTCTGTAGCCGTACGGTCCACCGTAATGGTCCACCCTATTCGCCTCCATCCCCGGAACCGCCGTCGCCGAGACCGTTGCCTCCGGCATTTCGTCCTTCTTTCCACCGCTGCCATTAACCTTCTTCTCACCCCCCCCTCCGCCGCCATTACCCTTCTTCTCACCGCTGCCTACGCCCCCACCTCCGATGCCGGCTCCGCCCCCGCCTCCGCCACTGCCTTTCTCCTTCTTTTCACCACTGCCGCACCCGACCCCCTACCCGCGAGCGGCAGCGGCAGTGAGCTTATCTTTCTTCTCGCTTCCACCACAGCCGCCGCCGCTGGTGGTGGTCACTGCAACAATCTCGACTCCGCGATTTAGCTTTTCCTTGAGATGCTGAGGAAGCGAGTTCACATCCATGGTCCCTTTCACCGTCACCAAATCCTTTTGGGCATCAACGCTCACATCTTGCACCCCTGGGCATTGGATGAAGTTTAACGAATGTTAAGCGACCTTTACATAAATTTGAAATATCTAACTGTAGGATTTTAATAAACTTTCTTTCTAATAAGAAAAAAGCATTCCTAAATTTATGAAAAATAAAATAGATTATCAAATTTTAGAATTAAGAACAAGGGATCAAGTAATTTTTCCAACTCCCAACTCTTTTGTCAGTAGTCATTGACATTAATTAAACCTTTCACTGTATTTTTAAAATATCAGCCAAAAATTTTAACAATTTATTGTTAATTAATTAATAATTTAAAATTTTAAAATATTTATATTAGTTAGAATTTATTTATAATTATTTATAAAATAGTTAATTATCCTTTTATACAATTGTATAATTAAGTAAATAGTAATTTAGCAGCACCCCAATGTTATGTTCACATATTTTGAGATTTATGTTGGTCGGGCGGACTTTCTGATCCGTGGACATTCTTTGCTGGCTTTATGCATTAAAACATAACATTTTAATGTTTTAAAGTTATATATTAAGAGATGTATCTCAATGTCAAGGGAATGTAATAGTGTTATTTTTTTATGTAATATGAATAGGTTAACGGCTATACCTGTAAATATGAAAAATTAAGATGTGGCACATGCCAATGCATAATAATTGTGTGGTATGCATGTAAATACCTTTTACAAAAATGAAAATTTCTTTTGTCAGTCATCTATTGCTGACTCGAAGTGAAAATCTAATTTAACACAGGAGGAACAAAACAAATTTTCAACTAAAAAATTAGTAAGGATAAATTAATTTTAAATGAATTAGATTTTGTACCTTTAATCTTGAGAATGGTCTTCTTAATTCTTTGAATGCAGCCATCGCAGTGAAGACGTATCTTCAGCACCACGGCAGACGCTGCCGGCTAACATGACCGCACAAGAAACGATGTTATTTTCTCCCCCCTAACACTTGTTTTTTTTAATACAAATAATAAAAACCAGATAACTTAACATTTAAATCTAATATTATATCTGAGATGAAAAATATGATAAATTGTATCATCTGATTGGACGCATTTTATTCAACTAAAGTAATTTATTTCAAATTATATTGAGTAAGTGAATGCTTTTCACAAAAATTCTCGGTTGTATTTTTTTTTTTTCAAATTCCATAATTCAGCATCTGACTCTTTTTTATATTTGTTGAAATTTAAACTCCTAGACGATGCGGTTTCGGAAATAGCACTGGACTTCGGCTCTCATCTTTAAAAAAAAAGCATAATTCATAAGTCAATTTCAATAAAGGAGATATTTAAAACTTCTTTTATAAAATATTATAACAGGATAATTCATAAGTCAATTTCAATAAAGGAGATATTTTTTATAAAATATTATAACAGAAGAAAGCGAGCAATGATTAATTTTATTAGGCCAGCCCAATAAAATTTTTCCTTTTTTTTAATTTTTTCGTCCAATCGTCCGTCTTGTCTAGCGTATTTTCTTGACAAAATAGCAGAGTTTTTTTTTTCTTTCCATTTCGTCTCAAGCATTTAGAAATAGTAATAATAATTAAAAAAGTATTAGTTTCGGTCGCTGACCTCCTTGGAAATCTTATCCTCCGGCTTCTTCTTCTCCTTAGAGTCGCCGAGGGTGGCGGGCTTCTTGTCACCGTCGGGAGGTTTTTTATCGGCCTCCAAAGTCTTCTTGCTGTCGGTGGCAGCAGGCTTCTTACTGCCGTCGGCGTCCTTCTTCGGTGGACTTGCCGGCGACAGGATCTCAACCTTTTTACGAGTCTTAGCCTCTACATGGTCTCGAAGCTTCCACGGATCCGCTGTCCCTATAACCGTCAGTTTGTTGCTCGCCATATCCAGCGTCACACCCTCCACACCTATGCAATTAAAAATAATAATAATAATAACAAACAATTAATAAAGGCAACAATAAAAAGCTTAAATCCAATATTACAAATAGTTGGATGATGAGAGTTCCTCCGTCTAGCAAATTAGTTAGTTGGATGCCAGATCGTGGAAACATAAGTACACTGCTCCTTTTTCACGCTTTCAATGAATTGCTGGGAATTTAATATAGATAATTTTTCGATTTTAAACATTTTTTTCTCACCAGTACAACAACAAAATTTAGGAGATATTTATTTACTCTTGTTAAAAATAGGAATAAAATATTTAAAATAGTTGATGATCATCACGACAGATTAAAGTAAGTCAGATTTGGGGCAGAAAGGATCAGTGTGATGCGCACAGGACGTTTCGGCTTTGGAAAATTAGTAAGACAGAGACTAACCATGTAATTCCTTTTCAAAATCAACAGAATCAAAGCATAATTCCTTAATTTTCCTTATAAATCAATTCCCCAAGCAAAAAAGCAAAACAGAAGAAGTGAAGAAATAAACGGGGAAATCGAAATTGGAAAGTTCCCTTCCGATTCATTTTTCTAAATAGTTGAAAAGTTATAATCTGATCTCTAGCTGGGCGATTAGATCAATGAGGGACAAAGTCAAACAAGGCGAGGTTTACCTTCAAATCCTTTGACGGATCGCTTGATCTTCGATGCACATCCCTCGCAATGCATATCGACCTTAAGAACCACTTTAGGCGGCCCTTCTTCCTTCTTCTCTGATCCTCCTCCTTCCTTCTTTTTCTCGCTGCCGCCTCCTTTCTTCTCCTTCTCATCTCCCTTATCTTTATTCTGCAAAAGAGTGAATCGGTAACTCAAATAAGGTTAGGCAAAATCGAACAGCCTGAAATTAAAACCCTGATACGAGGATCCACTTACCTCTCCCATGCCTTCTCTGGCTTCTCGCTCGCTTTCTATCAACACCAATGTGAAGTGCGGACTTGAAATGGTGGCTTATAAATAGGCGGCAATGTGTGGAAAAATCGAGAGACTTGAACCATTTTTTTTTTAAATCTTTCAAGTTAAATAGTATTTACAAATGAATAAAAATTTTGGAGACACGTACTAAAAATAAAACTCTACATAATTAAACAAAATATGTTTTTTTTTTCTTAAATTTGTGTCTAAAAAAAGGAATTTTAAATAAACTAATTAAGAGTATGATTAAGTGCATACAAAGTCTTGAAACATTTCAATAAATTTTTTAAAAAGTTGATGCACAATGTAATTGTCAACTCAAAGTTGATCCACTCATGAGTCGACTTGATTTAAATATACTATAAATTTTAATCATTTTAGTGATTATTGTCAACTATAAAATTATTTGATTAAATGTTTAATTAACTACTTCATTTTCAGATGTAAAATTATTTTTATTCTTCGCCTGAGTAAGCTCTGATGAACATTTCTCGAACTTACTTGAAGAAGTAGAAGCTCAAGCCTCTCTAGTTGTTAAAGAGTGATGAGGAATTGCTCAAAAGTTGCACACAAACTTTCACGAAAGACCAATCATTTCAGAAACTAAACAAACATAGAAATTCTCGAACATCGTGCTTTATATATGTTTGTTCTTATTTATACTGCATAAAAACTTATAACCTTTAGCAAATCCATCGTAGGATAGATTTGTTGGATCCTTCTGAAAATTTCTCAATAAATTTAAATTCATTCAAAATAAAATTTAAGGAATAATTAAATTAATGATTACTCGACTCAAAGAATCAAAATGAATATTAAATGAAAGCAAAAGAGTTTAACATAAATCATTTCTAAGGCACTTAAAACATACCACATCCTTCGTGAAGTATGCACTTCATGAGGTCTAGAGAGTTAAAAGTGATGGAGCTTTAAGCAAGACTCACTAGTCCGAGTGCTCGTTAAGCTTAAGCATCTCACCGTTCCTCCTTTGACTTGCAATAAGAGCCATTATACATTTGAATTGATCATGACTGAATTTACATAATAAATAATCTTAATAAATGAGTTTTAAAATAAGAACAATGTGTCACTAATTCAATTAAGAATTTTATAGACAATGACTACACTTAAGATGTTATTAACAATGTGACTTATCTCTCTAGGGATTTTTTTACCGTAACATACTAATAAATCATATCATACATGAACTAGTTAGGGGAAATTTTTCTTATAATATAAACGTAGAGCATTGAAATATTACTTTGTTTGTGTAATTAAAATCATATTTTGCCTTCCAAGGCAATATATTATTCTGAATGTTGTAACCAATCCCAAAAATATTTTTTTTTAGCTCTTAATTAGGGCCTATTTGGGGCAGCTACAGCTTTTCAGCTTTTCAAGCTGCTGTGAGGAAGCTGCTGCTGAAAGCTGGTTGTCTATTTGTTGCAACTGTGTGAAAATAATGATGGAGAATCGTTTTTGGAATAATGACCATTTTGCTTTTATTTAGTAAATTTGTTTGTAACAGAATTGTGACACACATATATTTAATACTTAAAAGCAGAAATTCAGATCAAAACAATACTAAAATTTAGATACACAACTCACTTAACAGTGAGTATCAAAAGCACAAGAAAAAAGGTTAAGAAATATTAAAATTACATATAACAAAATGATTATTTTTTTTTAGCATGAAGGCTATGTTTGTCCTGTGCTACAACGTCCTCCAGTGACACTGTCCAGTCTCGATCACCACCTACAGTGGAATATAGTGACACTAAACATTAAAAAAATAAATGTTTTTTTAAAGGAAATTAGTTACACATAGTGATGAATAAATTATAAAAAACAAATCCAATCACCTTCCATCGAACGCATCAGTAACTTGTTCCCTCAACTCATCCATTTCACTTTTGGTTTCCCCCACTATATAACATATAGGGTATTCATCATTCTCCCCTTGAGGTGGTAGTCATATGCTTTCGTTAGTAGATGCTCTTGATCCTCATCGACTCTATGAAAGTGAATGTTGTTGCAAGAAGGATGTCACCAAATATAATTATGCAGATCCATCGTGGTAGTGATAATCTCTTTGCTCTTTCTGGAGTTTCACATGTTTGGCTTTTCCTTTTGGCTCTTAGAAGGTTGGAACCAACATGAGAGAACTTAAGAAGAGTCCCCATAGGACTGTTTAACCTTAGGGTTAGCCCAGGGTGGTGTGCTTTTGGTTAGTCTTGCACAAAAACACTTGAACCCCTCACCTTCAATCCAAATCCAAAACCAAGCATGTTTAGCTTGACTCCCTACTCTTTTGGAGACTCATGTGGGTGGTTCCCCAAACTCTTAGTCGTTGACAAGGATGGTTAGGACCAACACATGGGGGATCTGAAATGAGGGTTCCCTTAGTCTTATGACTTAAAGAGGGAGATTTTATGATTAGCATCCTTAACTGATATCAATTCCAACAAGACTCTAATTTTTGACCTTTTGCTCCCAAACTTTTTCATAATTTTCAAAATACCCCTAAAACCCAAAAATTTTTAAAATTGTCGAAATGATTAATTTCTCTCCCAAAATCATCTCAAACCACTTAAATTGCTCAAAATTCTCAAAATTCTCAAAATTTCCATTATACCCCTACAATTGCCAAAAATTACCAAAATACACTTTATGTCCAAAAAATTCCAAAAACCTTCCAAATCATTCCAAACATCTTCTAAATCAATCCTAACCACTCATTGGGTCCAATATGACCACATGTACCAGTTTTGACTAAAATCTCAATTTTGCCCTTAAAAGCCTAATTTCCACCAAATTTACTTCAACCTCACTCAATTTCAAACCTAAATCAATCATCAACATGTCCAATCCTAATCTACACCAATTTGGAGCCCAATTGAACCAATCTTAAAACCCAAATGTTAGTTTTGGGCCAAAATCCCCAATTGAATATATGTTCAAATTCCATCAAGTTAAATCTCATAGTCAGCTCAATTTACCCAATTGAATACTAAACTCTTCATAACATTCTCCTAGACCAATTTGAGCCCTCAAGTGGCCTAGATCCAAACTCAGACTCGACCAAAATCAAATCCAAATGAAAATGCCCAAATTGAACTCCATAGCCTCTCAACTTCCACCAAATTGATGCCCAAATGCCTCATGAAAATCTTCTAATCTAAATTAAACCATCAGTTGACCTAAATTCAAATTCTAGCCAACTTTAAACCCAAGTCCAAACCAAATGCCCCAAATTGGCCCAATTTCAAAATTCGATCAAATTGAACCATGTGGTTAATTCAATTGCCCCAAAATTCATCTCCTAAACTCTTTATGACATCCCCATTGACCATTTCAACTCTTCAGCTAGTTTTGAAACAAGCTCAAATCCAATTCTTAGTCCAAACCCTAATTTTTAACCTAAGCCCCAAATTAACTCAAAGCTTTTGCTTAACCAAGATTAACCCTCTCCTACCTTGATTTGCCACCTATGATGCTAATCAAATCAGCCAAGACCTAAATTTTAAGCCATGGACCAAGGGTCCCACAAATCAAGGAAGCTTGCCCCAAAATTTTGTTAAGCTCTCTATCCTGTGCCATCAACTATCAAACCTTTAAGCTAATCACAATTAAACCTTCACTGGTCTTCCCTGAGCCAACTACCACCTCCCTTGGCCTTTCCGGCCAGCCAAGTCACCATAAAACTTAAAAATGAGAAGGTCATGCTTAGCTTAATTCCAATTTCTCACCCATCACGTGCGACAAACTCCCATTGGTGAATTGCGTCGTTCAACCCTTGATGCACAAAAAATATATGCATTTCTAGACATATATTTTACACTCATTTTTGGTGATATTACGCTTTAAAGGAAGATATGTTTTGTGGTTTGTTGCAGATTGATGATATTTAGGACTTGAAGCAAAAAGGAGCCAAAAAAGATGGAATTGTGAGTCAAAATGGTGTTTTCGTGGAAAAAACTCAATGTCGAAGGTGCTAGCAAGGATGCTGACGGTGCCAACATGAAACAGAAGTCCAAAATAAAGGGGCACCGATAGTGCCATTTGACAGAGAGTACAAAATTACATTCAGACCACAGGCGCCGACGACGCTAAGGTTAGTGTGGGGCAAAATTTTAGAAGATTCCATGAATCTGGATGCTTTTTGAAGAGTTATTGGAGGCACCTCTTAGGGAACTGACATTATGCTTTATTTAGAGCAAAAATTGCTCATAAAAAGTGGTATGTTCTATTATTTAGTGTGGTGAGTCTATGTGTGATTTTCTCCTAAGAGTTGTTATGAGAGGGAGAGAAGTGAGAGGTTTCTTCTTCCATACATCTTTAAAGAGAAAATCAACAGCCTTGTAAAGTGAGAAAGAGTTCAAGAGAGGCAACATGGGATTTGCTTTGAGAAAGAGTTGCAGATAAGTAGTGTTTGTTTATTATTATTGTGTAAACTTTCTTTTATTTATGAAATTTGTATTTTGTTGTATCTTTCTCATAAGTTATGAGTATTTTTGTTTATCTTTCTCCCTACTCTGAGATAAGGTGAAATGAAGAGATATTTTGGATGTGCCAATTTTAAAATTTAGAATAAATTGTGATGATTTTTCCACTTTGTTCTTAATTTACTTTTTGATGTGGCCAATTGAAATGTTAAAATCTATTGTGAAACATAAGATCCATGAAATGGAGTATGAGTTCTACAACAAAGTGAAAATCACATTTAATTTTATGAAGGAGTGTTTCGTTAATGGTATTTGGTGCAAATAAATAAGGAAATATTCATGAAATTTGTTGCAAATAAATAAGGAAATATATATTAGGGTGACTAACTAAAATGTCCAATTTGTTCTTTGTGTTTAAGAACAAAAACGAGAGTCAACCTTGGTGGGAAGGGAAGTGGGAGCTCTAGAGTGAGAGCTAGTATCCTCCCAGCCTAACCACATATTTAGAGACTAAATATAGGATTAACCAACGATCCTCTATAACACTTGAGTAAGGGTAGAGAATTAAAATTGCTCCTATTTGGCACAATATAAAT